TCGTTATCTCCCGAGGGGTCCCAGACTGCGAGAGGGCACAGGCCGGGCTGAGGGACCCGCCCCTCCCCCCTGAGTGCACAAATTTTTGTGCACCGGGCCTCTAGTATATATATATTTATACTAGAGACCTATTGCACGAAAAGATTCGTGCAATAGGCCTTCCCTTCCCCTGGCTGCCAGCACTGGTTTTCCTCTGGCACCTGAGACCCAGGCCTTCGCTCTGGCCAGAGCCGCCTTCAGTCTTCACTGCTCCGGCTGGAGCCACCTTCAAGACTTCACTCTGCAGCTTCGCGCCTACATATGCAAATTAACCGCCATCTTTGTTGGCGGTTAATTTGCATATCTTGCTGATTAGCCAATGGGAGGCGTAGCGAAGGTACAGTCAATTACCACGTTTGTCTATTATTAAATAGGATATATATATGTATATACATATGTCATGAAAAGTATGAGTCAAAAAATGATATATTGAACTTCATTAAAATTAAAAGCCTTTGCTCCGAAGTATACTAAGTATAATAAAAAAATAAAAAGATAAACAATAAATTTGGAAAAATATTTGCAAAAACATATTCAATTAAAGAATACATCAGAATATACAAAGAGTACTCAAACTTTAATAATAAGAACGTAATCTTTCCATACAACCCAATAATTTCACTCTAGCTATTTACCCAAGTGAAATGTAAATCTCTGTAGACCTGTCTACAAATATTTATAGTGGTTTAACCTGGAATAATCCAAAGCTAGACACCAACCTGAATGTCCCTCAACTGGGGTATGGATAAACAAATTGTGGCACATCCATACAATGGGTTCCTATTTCATAATATAAGGAACCAACTACTAAAAAACCCAATGCACACCTCAAATGCATTATACTAAGTGAAAGAAGCCATATGGTATCATTCTTTTTTAAAAAAATTACTCCTCACTCAAGGAGTTAGGATATTTTTTCCATTGATTTTAGAGAGAGTGGAAGGGAAGGGAGAGGGGGAGGGAGGTGGGGGGAGAGAGATGATAGATAGATAGATAGATAGATAGATAGATAGGTAGAGAGTCACCGATGTGACAGAGGCACATTGACTGGTTCCTTCCCACTTGCACCCCTGCTGGGAGCGGGGATTGGACCTCCAACTCAGGCACTTGCCTTTGCCCATGCCCTTGATGGAGATTCGAATCCCCCACTCTCCAGTATGCAGGGCCATGATCTAACCATGAGCATTGCCGTCCAGAGCATCCCTTCTTTTAAAATCCTCACCTGAAGATGTGCTTTTATTGATTTTAGAGAGGAGAGAGGGAGGGAGGGAGAGAGGGAGAGAGAGAGAGAGAGAGAGAGAGAGAGAGAGAGAGAGAGAGAAACATCGGTGTGAGAGAGATACATAATTGGTTGCCTCTTGTACATGCCCCAACCTAAGGGGATGGAACCTGCACACTAGGTATGTGTCCTGACTGGGAACAGAACCTACAAACTTTTAGTGCCTGGGATGACACTCCCACCAACTGGGCAGGGCTGGTATCACCCAGTTTTATAACATTCTGAAAAGGGAAAACTATAGAGGGGACAGAAAGCAAAGCAGGTCAGTGTTTGCTAGGAACCGAGGGTGGGGTGAGGGGATGACTACCAAGGGACCCAGGAAGCTTTAGGGGGTGCAGTATGTTTCTATACCTTGATTATGGTGGTGGTTACACATCCCTGCAGATATGCCAATCTCCCAGCACTTCCAACTGAAAGAGTGAATTTTACTCTATGTAAATGAGACTTTTTTTTAAAATGGAAATACAAGATGGGGCAAAAGTAGGTTTACAGCTGTTAGTATGGAAAACAATACAGTAATTAATACACCTATAATAATAAAAGTGTAATATGCTAATTAGACCGGGGTCCTTCCAGAGGAAGCCGAGGCTGCGAGGGAAGCCTGGGTCCCGGGTGCTGGATAGAAGCCGGTGCTGGCAGCCAGGGAAGAGGTACATGCCCTTAACTGGAATCGAACCTGGGACCTTTCAGCCCGCAGGCCGACGCTCTATCCACTGAGCCAAACCGGTTTCGGTGGGAAGGAAAATTCTTGCATGAATTTTGTGCATCAGGCCTCTAGTAATAATATAAGAATAAACACTGTGTATTATGTACTCACAACTGTAAACCTACTTTTGCCCCACCTTAGAAAGAAACAGGAAAATATCATGCTGTACTAAATTATTTTGTATGACCAGCTGGTGTGGCTCAGTGGTTGAGCATCAACTATGAACCAAGAGGTCACGGTTGGAGTCCAGGTCAGGGCACATGCCCTGGTTGCAGGATTGATCCCCAGTGGGGGCATACAAGAGGCAGGCAATCAATGCTTCTCTCTCTTTGTTGTTTCTATCCCTCTCTCCCTCTCCCTTCCTCTCTGAAATCAATAAAAAAAATATTTAAAAATTTTATTTTGTAGTAAAAGCCTGAATGAAGTATACACATTTTTAGAGATTTTGATAAATTCTTCCGAATTTCCCTCAAAGAACATATAATCCAGTTTACACCAGCTCTGTCAGAGGAATGAGAGGGTCTGGGTTCTTACACCCTCCTCAAGCCCGCTGTATTGGCACTTCTCACAGTGCCTCACTCTGGGCGGGCGCACAGGGCACACGGCAGGGGTCTTGTAGCAATGCGGACTGCAGGCCGAGGTTCCCAGCAGGGATAAATGAGATCCCATCCCCGAGGTGTTCACTGTGCTGATGGAGGAAGGGAGGAAGGGAGGAAGGGAGGAAGGGAGGAAGGAAGGAAGGAAGGAAGGAAGGAAGGAAGGAAGGAAGGAAGGGGGGAAGGGAGGGAGACAGCATGCATGTGTGTTGGGAGGCCTCCCAGTGGGGATCCGGGGATCCGAGACTTGGGGTAGAATGTTGAAAGGAAGGGCGGCTGAGGGAAGCATGACAGGTCTTCTGGGAGCTGAGAGGTCTGAAGTGGCAACGGGGTCTCCTTCCTCTACCCCACGCCTGGCAGCACCATTGCACGTAAGGCTGTAAGAACAGACAAATGAAGGGATGAACCCACGAGTAAGTTAAGAGGCTGAAAGTTTGGGGTCAGCAAAGATAAATTCCTTGGTTTGGGACTTGGAGGCTCAAACTCAGTTCCAGACTGTGGCTGGCCATACAACCTGGAGGCTTCTTGCTCTGATCCCCTCAAAGGGGAAGGAAGCCGGCACAGGTGAGTGGGGGAGCACGCATCGTCCTGGGCTCACACCCGAAGGAGCAGATGACACAGCCCCTGGCTGTCGTAGTGTGGCCTTTGATTCTCAGCCCTGGGGACTAGGTGAAGGGCGGGGTCTTGGCCAAATGCTGGGTCATTATAGCTGGAGCTGGTGGCTGTACCGGTGAGATAGGGTTGAGCGGAGGAAGTGGAGCAGGCTTGCCTGTGTGCTGGCTGGGGCCAGAGCTGGGGGAGAAGGGGCTGGGGGTGTGGCTTCTGGGGAGGCGGTGGGGGAGGGTAGCTTTAGGAGGGCTGCAGGAGGGAGCAGGAGTCTCCTGAGAGCTGGTGGGTGAGTAGGCGGGGCGGCAGGACAGGTAGAGAAAAGGGTAGGGCTAGGGAGATATGTAGCGAAAAGGAAAGGCAGCTTGTTTGTGTGCTCGTGTTGTGTGTGTGAGAGTGTGTATATGTGAGTGTGTGTGTGGTCGTGAGAGTGTGTATATGTGAGAGTGTGTATGTGTGAGTGTGTGTATGTGTGTGTGTGTGTATGTGTGTGTGTGTGCGCACATGTGCCCCCACGTGTGAAGCACAGAGGCCCCTCCCTGAAACTAAAGCTTTGTCTCTGAGTTTTAGAATTTTTTTCCTGTCACTCTGTGACAAAAATAAGACTGCTTTAGAGCATGAAGGTTATTTGTAAGTGTAAGTGGGAGTGACAGTTCTGATCTGACCAGCGAGGAGAGAGGAAAAGAGAGAGAGAGAGAGAGAGAGAGAGAGAGAGAGAGAGAGATCCGGAATGAATGCATCCAGCAAGGATGAATGAATGAATGAATGAATGTCAGTTTAGAAGAACCTCCTTTGAATGTGTGTTTGTGAAAAATACTATGTCCAAGATGCCTGGCCCTGGCCACATGACCCCTACCCCCGGTGTTAGCCCAGAGCATTCCAGAGAAGTCTGTACCTGAGGTTCTAGAACTTCACACCAGCCTCTAGTCTCAGAACAGGAAGCACGACTATTGGACCAGTTTCCAGGAGGGAATGCAGAGAGCGTGAGCCCTCCCTGGGCTGGGGGCCCAGACTGGGTGGTGCAGCCACAGCTGCCTGAAGTTTCGAGGAAGAGGGCGGAAACAGCCGCGGCACCGCCCTCCCAGGCGCTGCGGGCTCCTGGGGCTCTTGCGGTCGGCTGGTCACAGCGGTCCCGTGACTTCCTCACTTCCCTAAATGGGCAACTTCACTTTGAGAAGCCCAGGTTCTCCCCTGGCTGACCCCAGGGGTCCATCCTGCACCGGCCGGGGGCCCTGGCCTTGGGCCCCAGGTGCCGGCCCCTCTGGCCTGTGACGGTCCGCAGCTGGATGGAGCCATGGCTCCCACGCTGCTCCTCCTGCTGCTCCTGCTGTGGCTTCAGGGCTGCGTCTCAGGTGAGAAGGTGGGGGCGCCAGGGGAAGGGGGGAGGGGACCGCCTTTTGCTGGGCCCTCCCACCTGGCTGTTTCTTGCCCAATGACCTTGTCTCATATTCTGTGGAGTTGGAGGAGGCAGGGGGAGGTTGGGCTGCTAGGCTAAGTAGCCCCTTACTAGAGACCAAGGAGAATGTTCCATCCTAATACCTGGCTTCAGGCAAAGCTGCCCCAGGTCTCCTGAGCTCAGACCCGCTCTGCAGGGCTCCCTCGGGACCTCTGACCGGGGACACTGGGGACACTCAAGTTCCTCACTCAGAAAGCCGCCACCCCCGCCTTGGTCAGGAAAGCCTTGTTGGTTGTTACGGGAATCATTGCATCATGTGTGTGTGCTTTGAACTTGCTTTTTCTCAGAATGCTGATGCCACTGCCCCCTGTCCCAAGGGAAAGCCATCCCTGAGGGCTTCCCCACCCACAGGCACCAATGTTCCTTAAGGTGGGCGCTCACCCAATCCTGCCTCCCTCGTTGCCATGGCAACCAAGTTACCACTTCCTGCTCTGTTCTGGGCATGGACGGGGTTGGCAAAACCCACTCCTCACCATCTGTGAGAGGGGTGGAAGGTGGACACGAATGATCCCAGTACCCTGGAGACCCTTCCCAAGGTCACCCCATCCAGGCACCTCCCCCAGGGAGGCCCCCATTCTGCCAGGGCAGAAGAGTGTCTCCTGTGCTGAGCCATCCTGGGGCCCCCAAACTTCCCACCTACCACATACTCGAGTTGGGTCACTGTGTTAATTTGCGTGGGACAAAGTGATGCTCAAAGATGGTGTGTGTTACCTTACTCCAAGCCTTCACTACTGTGGCAGCTGGGTTGGAAACTGAGGCAGATGTCCTCTTGGGTGCCAGGCCCTTGCTTATCATAGCTCTAGAGAAATCTGGAGCAACTCAAGGAAAAGCATTCATTGAGCACCTACTGTATTCAAGGCACTGTCCTAGGGCATAGTTCTCATAACCAACCTGATCTGCTCGGGTGGTAGAATCAGAGTTTTCACCATGTTCATTTAGACTCCAAATGTGTGCTCTGTTCTGTCCTACTGGGAGTAACTTGTGTATTTGTGCTTGTTTGCAAAAGGCTCTGGTGGTGTTAAGGGGCAAGTGCTGGGCTTACGGCAGACAGAGGGGTGGAGGGACCCCACCCTGGCTCCTCTCTTCCCTGTCCCCTGACTTGACACATCTGACTTAGTGCTAATCTCTCCCCACCGACCATGGATCATAAAGTGCACAGACCATATCTCATCCCTAGGCACAGTGTGCGACATGCTGGAAGTGAACAGTGGATAACTGTAGAATTCTCTGTCTTGCACTCTGGTGGGAGTTTCTATGCATTATTTATTTAGTTATTTGTTTGTTTGTTTATTTATTTATTTATTTATTTATTTATTTATTTATTTTTACCTGAGAGAGAGAGAGAGGAAGGGAGAGGGAGAGAGAGAGAGAAAAACATCAATGAGGGAGAAACATTGATCAATTACCTCCTGTACGTCCCCTACCAGCCCATAACCCTGGTACCTGCCCTGACCAGGAATTGAACCTGCGACCACTTGTTGCATAGACAATGCTCAACCAACTGAGCTATACTGGCCAGGGCTCTATGCATTTTGGGGCATATTTAATCTATGGGTTTTATGTAGCTAGGATATTTTAAAATTAAACACCATCTAGAATGAACCAAGACACCTTGCTATTTAAAAGATGTCTATAGTGAACCTATCTATTTATGTAAAAGGCTAATATGCTAAGTGTCTCTCTGACCATCCGTCTGGTCACTATGATGCACACTGACCACCAGGGGGTAGACGTTCAATGCAGGAGCTGCTGTGACGTGCACTGGCCATTTACAAAGAAATGGCACAGTGGACCTGGCACCGACAAAGCAGCACTCAGCTTCCCCCAAGTGGACACAGGCCCCACCACCACCTCAGAGCGACAGCCCAGCAAATCACAGCCAACGCTGCTGAGACCACATGGCGCAAAATGCAGCCCACAGCCCAGTCCAGCCTGGAAATGGTCGCTGTGGGCACTGGGTAATGATGTCACACAGCAATGCCTGGCTTCCCCTCCCTAGCGACTAGCCTCCTTTGAGTGTCTTCAGCCCAGGAACATGACTTGCTTTATAGCCAGGTGCAAACATTTTACACTTTAACCAAATGTCATCTCATTTGATCCTCACAGAAGTCCTGGAGTAGGTAGATAGGAGACTCAGTAGAATCCTATTATCTTTTCATTAGCCAGAAAATGGAGATTTAGAAAGTTTAGAAACTTGACTTGACTGAAAAGAAGTAAAAAATGGTGGAACTTGAAAATGAAGGTTTTCTCACTGCTCAGAATATAGTCAAACACTGCTGCAGTTAAATATTTTACCCTTTGTTCTCCCTGCATGACCTACAATAATAATCTGCTTTGTGTTGATATTTACTGCTGTGTTGCTGATAGTTACCTGAAAGAGAAGTTGGGGGGCTTCACTGGGCTGGAAAAAGTTTAGCTAAATCAGAAAGCAGGTCTAATTAACCAAGTTTATCTCTCTATATAAAACTCTCACTGGTGCCAATTGCATGTGTGTGTTTCTATCTGTCATTGTCAATCATGACTTTGATTGACACTTCTATTATAGAGAAAGGGCAAATAACAATATTAAAATATTTCTTCTAGTTAATTTCCTTTCAATGTGCACAAATTTGTGCACCGGACCTCTAGTTTATAAAATAAATAACTACTCTTAATGTTTTCAAAACTTAAGGTTGGATCTTATTTCTACTTAAGTTATTGTACTCTGGAATGTCATAAGCTGATGACTTGCGCTTGCATCTATGTGTCTGTCTTATTGAGGACACGTCCTGGGTCTTGCCCATAAGACTCTGGACATGGGGCTTGTCATGTTTCCCTCAGACTGGAAAATACCACGAAGAAGGGGCTCTGTCTGTTGGGGGCTCCCTGAAGGCAGGGCCTGCATCTTCCCCCTCAGACTGGGAAGCTCCCTTAGAGAAGGGCTGCTTCTCCCTGGGACCATGTGTCCCACGTCGGCAGGGCAATGCCCATTTCCTCTCCCTCCAAGTTTCACGATGCCACCCGCCCCCTCTCTTGCTGGGCCTTGCTCAACACACCATGTCTCCCCAGGTGTCCCCGCCGAGAGCGTGTACTCCAAAGTGCAGCATTTTGAAGGGGAGACTCTGTCTGTGCAGTGCTCCTACAAGAACCGCAAAAAACACGTGGAAGGCAAGGTTTGGTGCAAAATCAGGAGGAAGAAGTGTGAGCCTGGGTTTACCCGGGTCTGGGCGCCGGGGCCGCGCTACCTGCTACAGGACGATGCCCAGGCCAAGGTGGTCAACATCACCATGGTGGCCCTCAGGCGCCAGGACTCGGGCCGGTACTGGTGCATGCGCAACAGCTCCGGGATCCTCTACCCTCTGATGGGCTTCCAGCTGGAAGTGTCTCCAGGTGAGCAGGCCTTCTGGGGCACCGGGAGGGTGGGGGTGTCCCCCTTGCTCTGCCCTGCACTAACATCGGATGTACCAATAGTAATAGTCCATCAGTGGGCACGCTGCACAGTAGGCCTCTCACATTTCTTCACACATTTTATGAACATTATTGTCACCATTTTATAGACAAAGAAAATGAGATCTAAAAACTCCTCTGTGACTCTGACCTTGTCTAAGGCAACAGAGCCAGCTAGTGGCAGGGATTCAAACTCAGGACTCTCTGTGCTTTGTTTTCTTCAGTTTAGTATATATCATTGAGTCCTAATTATGTGCTGGCCACTATTCTAGGCTCTGAGTATCCAATGGTGAGCAAAACCAGACACAATTCACTCAGCAGGTATAGCTCAATGGTTGAGCATTGACCTATGAACTAGATCACTGCGATTCCCAGTCAGGGCACATGCCCAGGTTTCGGACTCAGTCCCCAATAGGGAGCATGCAGGGGGCAGGTGATCAATGATTTTCTCATCATTGATGATTCTACCTCTCTCTTCCTTTCCCTTCCTCTCTGAAATCAATAACAAAATATTTTTTAAAAATTCTGTCCTGTGGGAGATGACAGGCAATAGTATATCATCAGACGATAATTGCAGATAACAATAAATGTTCTTAAGAAAATGAAAGAATGTGATAAACCAGAAAGTAACTCCGTGGTGAGGGGAGCTGCTGAAGTCCCAGCCTTGACCTCCTTGAGCAGATGACATCAAGAAGAGCCCTAAATGATGAGACATTTCTAACTCTGGTGAAATGGGGGTGCTCCAAAGGTCATTCCTGGTGGCGGGGGGGCGGGAGGTGGGGGAGGAGAGAGAATGAATTTGCAAAGATCCCAGGGTGAGAAGGAGTGAGGGCTGTATAAGGCAGGCCTGCCTTATAGACAGGTCCATATTGATGTGGGGCACAATGATAGGAGATGAGGTTGGAGAATCAAACAGGAGCTCTGAAGTCCATGATGAAGGAGTTTTTTATTCTAAGTATGATAGCTACTGGAGAGCTTAGTGGCGTGTGTTGTGTGTGTCTTTAAGACAATACTGGCTGCTGTGTGGAGGATGGACTGTGGAAGGGTAAGAGCATGTGGGTGTCCTGGCTGGAAATGACAGTGTCTTGGAGTAGGATGTGGTCCCTGGAGACGGACAAAAGAGGAGGGGCTCAAATCGATGATGGTCAGACTCCTGCCCACACTGCACGTTTTTTGAGGCAAGACAGGATTTGCTCATGTGGGAGGTGAGCAAAAGTGAAAAATCAAGGATGACTCCAAGGTGTTCCATTGCATCAGCAAGGCGGATGGCGGGACTGCGCACTGGGTAGGGGAGCTAGTTTGGAGGAGAAAAGTGAAGAGCTCTATTGTGTCACGTTACCATTAAGATACCTCCCGGGACCTCACATGGAGAAATGAAGCAGGCAGTTGATGTATCTGCCTGAAGCTCAGGTGAGAGGCTGGGAAGTGTCTCTGTAAAGACAGTTTAAAGTCAAGGGGATTAGAGAAATCTATAGAGACAGGAAGTAGGTTGGTGGATGCTTAGGGCTGAGAGATAACGGCTACAGGGTGGGGGGTTTCTTTTTGAGATGATGAAACTTCTAAAATTGACTGTGGTTATACTAAAAATATGGCCACATGCATGACTGTGAGCATACTAAAAATCGTTGAAATTGACACCATAAATAGGGGTGTTACATGAGATGTAAATTATCTATAATAATCCTATCTAATAAAAGAGAAACATGGTAATTGGCGTATGACCGCTACCCTTCCCATTGGCTAATCAGGGAGATATGCAAATTAACTGTCAGCCAAGATGGCAGCCGGCAGCCAGGCAGCTTGAAACTAACATGAGGCTTGCTTGCTTCAGTGACG